ATGAATGGAGCATATAGTCATTACAGACTTCACCTGACTACCATGGCTTTTCAAATACAAAGGATGAGGATATTGAGATGCAGCTCACTAGGTCCCAGGATCCCCCCCAGTATTGTTACTATCAGACAACCTAAATTGTCTAGGACAGGTAGAAAGAAGGCGTGTAGGTGTCCCTTCCACAGGGCAGTTGGGAATGTAAAAGCTTGTTGCTAAGGGGCTTGACAATTCCTGACCCTCCAATCAAGTTACAAGAAAGCTGTCTCCACAGATAAATGGCAAAGAAGAGTGGACTGACAGACCTTGGGGAGGCGCAGGTTTGGTTGATGCAACCCCCAGGGGTATAAAAGACTGAGCATCCATCTTGAAGATGAATTGGCCACATGGGAGGCAACCACAAATGCTGCAATTTTTCCTTATTTAGTCCTTTTGTTGTATTTTTGTTAAAGTTTAATTAACCTTTTAAAAAATTTTAAAGTGAGCAGTTGTCTCTCACAAACTTGACCAGCAAGAGAGTATTTCTCACAAGCATCAAGAGAGGAAGTTGTGACCTGACGTGCAAAGGGCTCAGGCTGACACAGACAGGAGAAACCTTTTGCCAGCAAAACAGGGCAGAAAGGGGCCCAGCTCACATGAACAAGGATGTGCAAAGAGCACTTTGTGCATTATGGTGAAAGTTATCACACCTTTTACACAAGATCATCACAATTGGATGCCTCTCTAAATGAATGGAGCATATAGTCATTACAGACTTCACCTGACTACCATGGCTTTTCAAATACAAAGGATGAGGATATTGAGATGCAGCTCACTAGGTCCCAGGATTTTCACATATTCAAAATTAAGCTCATCTGCAAAAACTGGAGTTTGTTAATTTGCAGGGATAACAGCTTTTTGCAAGGCTATTCTTGACATAATCCCAGAAATGGATTTACCAGTGTGTAGAAGGTTATGCTGTGGATTTTTTCTGTCTAGGTAGAAAATCAATATGAGAAGTGAGAACACAAGGCTCTGTTAACTTCACACATGAATTTTTTCTTGTAGGATGCTATTTGCTTAAAATTACATTTGTGGGTGCAGATTGCTGAATACTAGAGATGAAATGGTAACTTCAGCTTGGCTGCTCCTTGGTAGCATATGACAATCAGTGTAAGGAAGTGACAAGCACTGTTTTGTCCCTTTGTAGAAAAATGCAACTAACAGTGAGTGGTATGAGTTTGAAACAAAGCTCTGGAAGTCACATGCAGGGAAAAGAGTCTGTCTGAGATTCAAGGATGCAGTGCTTCAGCCAGAGGTGATACACAATAATCCCTATATTCAAACTTATGTTTAAGGGTGAAATAAATGAAGAATATTCTCTCTTTAGAAGTGGGATACTGAATGCTGACTCTATGCATAAGCAATAGAGGTGAAAAGGCAAAAAAAATCCTAATTGTCTTTGTCTCTAAACCACTGAATACGCTTGTACAAAAGAAAACTATATCTGGAAACTAAAAAGACTCTCTATGTACATAGTGGTCCACACACATACATAATAAAGAACACCACTAAGGCGAAATTAGTGGTAAAAAATCCTCCTTAAATTGTTACATTGGGAAGCTTCATTAATGACTGTCAATGTAATGTAATACAATCCTATTGTGCACAATTACACTACAGTTAGCAGCCCTTAATTTAAAGCCTCCACCAGAGGCCAGTATATTGCCATTTAACTACTGGCACTTTGCTCAGAGGGTATTTTTACTGGCTAGTTAAAGTTGAAACTGGAAGGGTTTTTTGGTTATTAGACCAATGAACTGCTTTTAGATTGCAGGGTTCTGGTTGTTATTTTTTATCCAGAGATTTTAAAGGTTTGCATTATAATTACCAGACAACTGACCTTTTCTTAATATTGAAAGAGCTGGTGAGATTTTCACTTTTGAAGAGAACCTCCTTATTTCATCCTCCCTCTTACTTTTAATTCACATCTCTGACTGGATGAAATGGATCCTTCCTGGTAGAACTAAATGGAAAGAAATGTTTAGAAGATCATGTAATGCACTCCTGCTGCTGACCGCTGTTTGCTTTGTTTGAGCTAGTGTAGAAAAAAACTCAGAGCAAAATTGCCTCAAATGTGCAGAACTAGAGATTTCCCTACACACATTGTTCTCAGCAGACAATGTAGGAACAACATCCTAACACATTTACGAAAAGAGCTCTATTTGGCTTCATTTTTATAATTGTGAAATTGGATTTTTATCTGAGCCTAAACCCTTAAGTAGAAAGTGTTTCCACTTTTAAGGGTCTTCTATTTCTGTCCACGAAACAGCAACATCAGGATTGTCAGATTTTATTATCAGAGTAAAACAATACAAAAAATGCATCCAGGGGAAGTCAAAAAGTAATCCATTGTCTTAAAAGAGTTAGCTGATGGTCTGTTGAGACAGAAGAAACTCTCAACACTTCTGCCAATGAACAGACAGGTCTGATTGTAGAAAGCTCTCAAGGACTCACACACAGAGGGTCATCTCTGCAGAATTTCGTATTTTTTAGCCAAGAAGCTTACACTAGTTGCTGACAGAGGGCAGAAGACTGTCATTGCCATAGACACAGGCACATCTGTAATGATTTTTTACCAATTATTCTTCTTATAGAGAAGTATGTGTCTGTGATTTCCCAATGGGACTATTTATTATCTCTTTAAGATACATAAAGCTCATCCCATTTGCAAGAAGGTGAGACTTTGGCTTTTTTACGTGCATATTGAAAAAAAAATCAATCTGAAATGGTAGCATTCCAAAGAATCCCAAACACTACTGTGCAAGGCACAATTTAATGATTAGGGCCTTTTTACAGAATTTATAATTGCTAAAGCATTGTAATTTTTCCCCACCCCAAAAGGTCTGTTCTGGTAACAATTCTCTCTCATGGCTGAGTATCAACTTATTTTTACAGAGAATTTGCTCATGATATTTTAGGCAAGCTAGTGAGTGACGACTGGCAGCACCTGAAGGAAGAAGAACTAGATGAAGGCATGTCATGCCAAACCACAGGCACTACAAAGGTCAGAAGTAAGGGATTAGAGATGGCATCACAGATGGTGATATAAATGATTTTTTAACTTGACCTGCCCACAAGGGTTTGCCACCACTGAGATATCTCTACAGTGTTAGAGAAAGTTATTCCTCTGACATACCCCATCTACAGAAAGTGGGAGTAGTTTTAATCCAATATACTCTTTGAAGGCAGGTCTCATACAATTCCAAGCAGAGCATTTTTCCTGAGAAAGGACAGCGGCTTGCTCTTTTATCACACATTATTCTCAGATAAAAATGGTAAACCCAGTAGGGTAACTACTGCAGTCACCCAAGCAGGCAAGAAACCTTTGTTTGCCCATCTGCTTCACACAGTTTGGAGTGGGGATTCAAACAAACACCTCTTACTTTCTAGTCAAATACATTAATAACATGGCTGCAGGGTATGTAAGGATTTTGCCAGCCTCAGCTGTTGAAACTGTTTTGCTTTCTGCTGGTATGGTAATGACAGCAAGGACACATCCAAGAAGAGCCTAAAAGATAAAATTCTCTAATTAGAAAATGCAGCCCTTGTTCCTCTGCATACTTGTTATATACTGTACATCATTCACTAGAAAATGTAAACAGTTTGGAATTTAAAGACAAAAATTAAGATTAGAAGCACTTACCACTAAGAGCTTACCCACTTGGTCCACTCTCCTCTTTACCCTCTGACTTCAGCTTCTTTTCCACCCTTCCCCTGACCCACAGAGTGCTTTGGGAGAATAGGCCAGTACAACAAGCATAGGGTGGCCTTGTTGCCTTCTTCAGTTCTACTTTCAAGATAATCAAACATTGAAGGTTTCAGACTACAGGCAAGACCTAGGTCTGGTGTGAGACTTTCCCAGGCCAAAGTGTCTCCACCAGCCAGGTGTGGGACACAAGGAGCTGTACAGGAAGTGCTGGATCAGGTGGCTTGTCTCTAGTGAACATAGGTTGTCCCTGGCTGTGAACCTAGGCTAGAACTTAAAATGTACCCATCAGGGCTGGACAGCTTCACCTGACTTCAGCTACTTAAAATAGCTGTTTCCTCCTCTCCTGGACAACAGTAATACCATTTCCAGAAGATAATTTGATCCAATCTAAAATGTTGCCATTCACTCCACCAACTACAGAAGTAGCTTACAGGTTTAGTTTGCTGAATTTAGGTGAAATACCTCTAAAGTGCTGAAGTATGCCTCCAGTCTCTTTTGAGGCACCTAAGACCTCTGGACCTAAGTCTGGATAAAGCTATCCCCCTGTAATACCACAAATTATGTTTATTCAATAATAGCTCCCAGCTATTACTCACAAGATGTGAAAGACCAAGGCAGAAGAGGACTTGCCGCTTCCCAAACTCCAGCAGAATGCTCATCACCCCTATACTCTAAACAACTCCACCATCACCTGCCAAACATGAGTGAGCAAGTCAAACCTGCCCAGAAGTCCTGCAAGTAAACCAGGCAGATGACCAACACGTGACTCTGACTGGGGTGCAGGTACAACTCTCAAGACTGCTTTCAGTTTCTCTGCTCAGCAGCAAAATACAGATTCTTTAAGGGGGCTCACTGGACTACGAAAAGCATTAGAGATCCTAGAGAAACATCTGGGTTCAAGATGAACAGACTTAATGTGTGTCTCAGTTTTGGATTTAGATACTTCACACACTAACTAGACATACAAAACTTCTGTAGATCTAGCCCTCAGCACATGCTAAATCAATGACATGTACATATTTTGTGTACATAAATAAATGTTTTTCTGTCATTACAGTGTAAACAGAAGTGGTCATTAAGCTTTAAAATAATTGTAAAATAATGTAAATGTAATAATGTAAAATAAGCGTAAAATAATTCCTATAAATAAGGTATTGGCACACCCCATGTGACATACTTTTCTTATATCTAGTTAATGAGTTCTTATATATACCACTCCACAAATGCTGTAATCAATCTTACTGTTCACAGTTAATTTAGTAATAGCAGCTTTTAATGTCAACAAAGTTCAGTTACAAACATAAAGAATTCTGAATCAGATCAGATGCAACTGTTTTACATCAGCATCACAAATTTACCCAGATACTTGTACCCAATCTGTAGCTATGTTGCTCTCCATAACAAGGTGATTAATGAGAACTATAAAATCTAATGGACAACACTGATCCCCACAATCCCTGTTTGCTTTGAACACAGTTCAAGAGTACTAGCAGCACAATACAAAGAATGCTTACCTTGTAAAAAACACAGAATACCTGCTAAAAAAAGGGAATTGTTACTAGTCCTGTTTGGATATTGTATAGCTGGAACAGGGAAAGACAGGAAAGAAGTTATACCAGTCAAGACATAGATGGGCATTAAATAATCAAAGCTTGAAAATTTCAGTGTAAAAGACAATAGCTGAACCTACATGAAGAAAATGAATGCAAGATTTTAAACTGTGCTGTGTCTCTCTTCTCAGAAGAGAAGAAAGCCATAATGCTCCTAGGCTTTTTTCCAAAACATGTCCACTAATGAAACTCTCAATAGGTAGTACAAAGCTTGCAGAATGGCTTGCTTCACTTTTGAGTATATATAAGTAAACAGATGCACAGCCTCAAAACTCATAAAACAAACGCAGGGTAGTCATAATGATAAAGTAGGCGAATGTAAATAATTGGTATTCTATTTTCTGTCAGTACAGCAGTTATCTGAAAGGAAATGCAACACTGAAGGTCTGTAACTTGACCCATAAGAACAAAAGGTTGTACTATCCAGTTGTATTCCACTAAACAGATGCTCTACGCACATTTTTCTTCCAGACAGGCTTTCCAGGAAGAAAAAAAGAATTATTGGTTTGACAGGCAATTGACCCTACTATTTCTTTTTATAATACCCTTGTTTAGGAGCATTCTGTACACCCAAAAAAAAGGATTAGGCCTACAGTCTCTGTCAGTCCTGCAACATGCTTACTAAGGAAGTTGTCAGACTCCACAACTACAGAGACCTATAATCACCTGTTGTTAGAAGCTCTGTTAGCATATGGTTAGGAGTGTTCTAGAAGACACTTAAAAAACCCTTTTGAGTAAGCTACTAATATCCAAGGGTAGCTTAAGACAAAGGCCAGCAAACAGATAGCATCAGTAATGGCTGACTGGTTGTTGCATTAAAATACCGATGATCACATTATAGAGCCTTCTACAGAGCTTGTGGTGTTAGACTGACACCTCTGAGTTCCTACACGTATGACAGCTGCCTTCTGTGTACAGTAAACATATACATATTTAAAGCTCCTTTTGCCTTCGACGGCAATTTCCACAACTCACTTCACTGATACATACATCTTCCAGATAAGATTATTTCTCACACACCTCAACTTCCAAGCTTAGTGAAGCAACATTGACAGTTGTGATTAGGTTTATTAGGTCTGTATTTCTTTGCATGTATCTGACATAACTTCTTGTAAGTTTTGGCACTTTCAATTAACCTTCACACTGTCTGATTAGCCTTGCAGCTGAAATACTCCATATATATTTAGCAGATCATCTTGTTACACTAAGTTCTGTAATCTCACGGACTTTTCTGTATCATTTATTCAAATTTTCCCACCTCTTCTTTAGTTTTACAGAAAGTAATTTTTTGTTCCAGGGCTCTTCTACTCTGAGAGTTCTGCGGTAACTTGAAAATAGGATTTTTGTAAAGTCTCTCAGGAGAGATGTAGCAGTAACACAGATCCCTGTGTTGTAATTCTTGTAAGTATCTCTGCAAACACTAAAAAGGAACTGTACAACTGAGTTGCTGAGGGAATGGTTCCTTATCTTAGTTTCCTCATCTCTTTCAATAAACTTATCTTTTTCAATAAACTGGCCTGGTTTGCAGCTGCTGGTCATAAATTTACACACCTTCGACAGCAGAGAGAAACAAGCAAGAAGTATAACAACTGTATCCAGCAGGTAACTATCCAATATCCTATCTATCCTATTTGGCTAGGAGGCAAACTGAGAATCTATTTATAGATTACACACACAGTACATGGTCTATATCTCTTAATTTCTGTGCACCCCACCAGGGGTCACTTATACCACCTTACTGATGTTCCTCATCAGGGGCGGGGACAGGACACGACAAGTGTTCTTCTATTATAATAATTTAAAATATTTACGCACTGAACAGCCACTCTTTTACACACACACAAATACTTACTGGTATACTAATGAACCACACCTACAACATTTTGCAAAGATTGATACATTGTGGCGTTTCCAAGCATGAAAAATTCATAAATCTGTAGCCTTCTAGAATACAGACAATTGGAGGGCCTGTTGAGGAAAAAAAAAAAAAAAAAAAAAAAGGTGCTCCCTTGAAGTTCTCTAAGTTAAAGCTCTCTCCGGAGACCGTTCACTACCTTCAAAATATACATGTTTGGCATTAACTAAAGGTCTCTTGGGAAAACCCACAACTTAATTCTGTTTAAAAAAATGTGTTAAACCAAGTACTACTTAGAGAAGAGAGAGCACTGAGGATTTAATGTAAAGATTTTAGTTACTGAGATACACACTTGCATATCTAATGTGTAAAAAATAAAGTGCTTTTTATCAGGTCTCAATGTAGCGACACTATAAAACTTTCCAACAACTGCAAAACAAATAGATACATAGAATACTGAATCAAACATACATGAAAACAGTTAACATCCTATCTGATTGATGCCCCAAGTCAAAACCCTTCATATACATGGTTCATACATATATATTCCTCTTTACTCAATATATTATGACAACATATATTTCAGAATTTTGTTAAGAGTCTAAAAAAAAAAAATTGTACAAATATGCAACAAGAATCAAGCACAGAAGTCCAAGAATGACAAATAATTTGCTATCCCTGCCCACACCATCAACTCCACTCCTGGGAAAGATATGCCAGTGCTCTTTGCTGGGGTGCAGTGCCTCCACATCCTGCAAGGCACTGTGAGCAGCAGCTGTGAAGTTGGCATCGCCAGTAGTGAGTAGATCAAATACACATGAGTAAAAATAGATGTCCTTCACAACCATCTTCTCATGGCATTTGGTGGTGGCTGTTTCCAGTGTGTACCCTGATCGGGGATGAGACGCAGCACCCCAAGGAAGCAGCTTTCCCACCACAGGCAATGGCAAGTGGCCACTCTGATCAATACGTTCACTGGAAGGGCAGCCATTCACACACAGCTGCAGATCCTGGCTCTCCTCAAACGCCATGACCAACTCCTGGGGCATGCGAATGGCCAGGGTCAGGTAGTGCCCAAGTTGGTGGATATACACCGTGGTCCCAATGTACCTTGCATGCATCTCAATATATTTGCCACTGACTTTCTCCACAATGTGCAAGCTCCTGGTGTTCTCATCTCCTCCACTTACTGTACCATCAACAAAAGCTGCAGGCAAGTCATTAGTCATTGCCTGATATACTTTCTGATCTGTACAGTCTTGGTATGATTTGAAAATAATAGTTATCTGTGGGGGAGGGGAGAAAAGAAAAGGACAAAATTAGTGGAAAGAAACAAATCATCATCTCAATCCCATTTCCATTTTGTAACTGAATATGTCTGGAACTGCCCACTACCTTAAAACCTGACAGTTGTCCACAACTCACGCCTAAGGAAAACAGCCTGTACACATGCTTAAAGCAGTATTTTACTGGATGGCAAATGTTAAATTTGTTCTTTTTGTTGGTCTGGAAGCAAGACTATTAGCATGTGGTAACAGCCTTGAGGTCAGGAAAGGAAAACGCTTTATATTTAATTAAGCATAACAACTACCTCCTGCCTCACAGTTTCCTAACACTTTGGAAAGCATCCTGCAATGACAGAGAAGCATAACGACCGAGTAATACCACAACGCTGGCAACTATGGCAAAACCAGAATAAGACCATGCAAAATCAGGGAAAGGTATAATCAAGACCAAGAAGAACAACTAGTCAAACAGCTCAGAGATCCTAGATACATTAGTCCTAGGAACTGGGAGATTTGACACTTTGAGTCCACTGTGCTAGAAAATGTGCCCACTGAGAAACAATGCAAGACTGAAAGACACCCAAAGATGTGCCTTTGAAGAGTGAGTGACTTTCAACATCAAAATCATTAGCATAAAGCAATTTTTTTTTTAAGATTAGAACTAGCCTTTTAAACCTTTCTACTTATTGGGAGTAGGTCACAACAAAAGAAAAAGCAGGTCCTCCATTCTTACTTGACGGGAATAACTAGGCTATATGGCAGACCAAGTCTGGAGTGTCTAGCAGCTTTCCAAAAACAAAAATTAGAATGAGAATTCACATCCAAGTATTACAAACAGACAAGCTACTTCCTTTAGAGGAAAAATGACTAGAGGGGAATGACTTATTGAAAAGGTCAAAAGACAATTTGCACTAAGAATAGATATTTTAATAATTATTCTCATCATTGATTGATTATATCAAATTAGTTACAGTCTATGATTTAAGTAGTCTGCTATGAGACTCACATTACTTCAAAACATATCAGAAGGTATTTTTAAACTAAGTTTAAACTTAAAATCTCTTCCACAGCAACCTCCCATTTTAGTTTCAGTTAACCATCACACTTCTGCACAACTTTTATTTCTGCCTCTCTGTTTTAAAGTAAGAGCGAGAGGTAAATCAAGAGCCAGTTACAAACAATTTGAATAAATCCTATGCCCTCATTAGCCCCACCTCTCTACACCACTTGTATAAGACACAAGTCTTCCCACCTCTCTCCTCTCATTGCAACAATTTATTTTTTGGCATATGCAGACATATCCTAATAATATTACATTAATTTTCAATATTTGGTTCATCTCAGGTGGTTGATACTTTGTCAGTGTTTGTCTCACAACACAGACACTACTTACTATTTTGACTTCATATGTTCTCACCAGTGCTGACTGGATTTTTCCAATGGTTCTTCCTTGCACTAATCAGTTATACAGCATGAGATGTATCAGCTATATACCTTGAGACCATCTGTGGTCAAGTAATTTGGTAAAGTGATGTCTGTGAACCACAGCTGAGCTGAAATTCTTATGCCCAAAATCCAGAAAACGCTTAAGTGCCCCTGTTGCTGTAAAGATGACCTCACAGCTTTGTTCTCAGTAAAGTAAGCTCAGCAAACTACAGAAAAGAAACTTGAGGTCTCTCAAATTATTAGTATTTCTGCATATAATCCAGGCCATAATGCAGTAAAAGACCTTTTATTTTGTGTAACACAGTTTGGATGAAACAGACTTCTATCTCAGCCTGCTCAGACAAAGAAGCATTGCTGTTTCCTTGAGCACATTTGCCTTGTTCTGCAGGGAAAGCATAATTTACACACCTACAGAAGTAAAGTCTAAGTCTTGTTAGCACTTGAACAAGCCTGGAGCCAAAAAGAAGTCTCATTGTTTTAATGACACAATGAACTGGCTGCTTGATAAAATATTTAAGCAAGGCACCTGGCAAAATTTCTCAGGAAGCAGCTACCAAATTGATCTCTCCAGAACTTCCTCATTTACAAGAATGAAATGCACACAGTTTTGGAACACAGAGAAAGAACAAGAAGCCTTCACTCTAATTTAAGATTAGCAATAACAATGGATGCTGAATGAGAGCTGAAAGACTATTAGATAAATAAAGGCCTCCATGTTACAAGGACACCCTAAACACAGACTCAACAGAGACCATTAAGATTTTCCAAGGACATACTTGTATTTGAACACTGCAGCTCAAGACACCGATTTTGAATATTCTGTTGTCTGTTGGGTGACATCTATCTAATCCATTGGCCAGATCAGTAAAACGAGAGTGCTGCATGGGCTTTGCCTTATCACACACTCCTATCTCAGTATCCTGCCCTGGTACTGATAGATACTTCAGAACCTGTTGCAAAGGGAGATGAACCAAAATGTGATTGCAGAGCTTTCTCTCTTTAAAGTCTCAAGGTATCAGAGAGCATTAAAAAGCAAAAATGGTTATTCCTAACAGATTCAACATGTGTTCCCTTCCAACCCAAAGCACTGCATGATTTTTTAAAATTTCTAATTAGTGCAGAGACAGTCACAGATGTACAATAATCAATAACTCTTTTAAAGTGTTACACCTGTATCATTACAGGCTTGTGTGGTGATAGGCACAGGTTTTCTTGTCTTAAGCAAGAGCAGAGGGAAGAAAAGAACCTGTTTTGTTTGAAGCTTATTAAAGATGATGCTAAGAGTTTTACTTTTTTATACTACTGCATAGACGATTCTCAAGCTAATACACTTCTTCACTGTTAAGGGCTAAATGACTGACTTAACCATCTTGGCCTTTTACTTCTCGGAGCATGCACAGTGCACAAAAATAATCTGTACCTTGTTTGTAGCAGTAGCGCTGGATCCTGGGACCACAGGCACATTGGTCACTTGCACTGATAAGTATTTATTGTCTATGAGGGGCCAAGCACCTTCCACTTTGCATGTCTGGAAGTGATCCTTAAAAGTCCTCAGATGAGGATCCCCAAACAAGCCACAGAACAGGTAAGTAGGAGGAGGTGTCTTCTCTCCCCCCTGATGTTCTCTCACTTCTGTGTGGCCACTGTAATTGCAAGGATCATGGGTCATTTCAGAGTTGGTGGAGGATGTGGGTCCATTTTTGGTACAGTTTCTCTGGGTCATGAGATCACCGATCCCAAGCACTGCAGAATGGTAGACTAGGTTTCCACGGCATGCTTTGGAATTGCGATAGGTACACACAGAGTATGCCCGCAGGGCCTTGCAGAACTCCAAATCAAAGTCCTCAAGAGCTGTGTTTAGATGTGAAGTAAAGGATACAAAATCAGTGGTGCACTTCTGGATTCCACAAGATGTGTGCAGCTCACAGTCACCTAAGCGAAACAGACAGCAGAAAGACATAAAAGCAAAGCTCTTTGGTGGCAATACCCCTTTCCACTCCCACAAGTACCATAGAAAACAACTTAAAAGAAACTTACAGTACTCACCCATTAGGGAATCACTGCATTTTAGAAAATAAGAGGTTGAAAGATAGAAAGCAATGGAGACTATCTCAGAGGCTGACAGGACTAATGATGTCTTAATCCATTACTTCATATTGTCTAGACAAAAATTAAGAGCACTAGGTCCTGTCAAGTACAAGCCAAACATTTCTTTCCAGATACCAAGGTGATGATGCAATTCTGTGTTTAAATTAATCACAAAGTCAATAAGGAAGTCTCCATTTAGCCTTTAAGTGCTTTACAAAAGTTACTGAATTTTTATACAGAATTCTGCCCCTCAGAAGAATGTGGTAAAGGCAACAATGTAATGTTGTTTAGACATTGTTTAGATGTTAGACATGTCAAATGTCTAAAAATGTTTAGACAAAAACTAGACTGAATAAAGCAAAAATTTCTCTTCTAGAAACCAGGGTGGGGGAGAATTGGTAGGTAAGCAGACAAGCAGTTTGCTTTATTTCCCTGGCACTGCCACAGCTAAAGCATCACTGCTCATTTTTTTGGGACAGAAGTGTGAAAAAACCCAGTTGTCTGAAGTGCAAGTTTTCAGGTAACGCACCTGTACATTGCAGTAGCTGTACCTTTCAGAGCATAATTCAGTAATAAGACAGGTGGAAGAGAAACTCTCTCACGTAAAAGCCTGAAGAAATTATCAGAGGTATACAACTGCTACACAGTTCAGTTTGCATAAGCAAACCAGTCAGGTTTTATCTGATTACCTGATTTCCATAAAAAAGCAGTTAACATCCTTGCAAGCAAACCGATGTTTCACAGTTGTCTCCTCCACAGTTCTCAGAGGTATGATGTGAAATCTTTCCAGATTCTCATGACAGTTAACAACAGCTTTCTGAAGGCAACTTATACCAAAGAACTTATCAGGAGCAAAAATTAAATAAACAAGACACACTAAGGGCAACAGAGCCACACTTTTCACACAAGTTAAAACCAGGAGGACCCCCCCAGTCTAGGAGAGATCACACTTCCTGCCATCCAAAGAGAAAATGGACCTTCATAAAGAATAGGTGCACAACTACATGCAACAGCTGTCCAAGCCTGCAAAACTATCTACTAAAATTTATCTGTGGAACATTTATCTAAAATTTCTCACTGTCATGAAGTGGGTTTTGGATGCCACAAAGACACATGGAAGAGTTAAAATAAACCCAAAAAATGAAATATACGAGAAACTCCTGAACTGTGAGAAGTGGAAAATAGGCTGAATAACAACATTTTTCATTTTTAAATAGCTATTTTCTGCAGTGCACCCAGTGATGAGAGGATATCAGCAATTTCTTTGCCTGCCCCTTAGCTGACCTTCCTGAGTCAGTATTCACAGGACTTACTCTCAATATCCAAACCATGAATTTATAAGGGCAATAGGTTTTGCCAGTGATGAGTAGCTAACACAAATCTGTCAAAATCCCAAGACAACACACAACAGAATGAGGAATTCCTCACCTACAGCTAAGCACGACCATGACTCGTGTAGGTAAGCTGAAAATTTCTTTGTGCAAGGCATACATACCTTTGCAGAATACAGAAAAAAACTCCTAACAACAATCAACTCCTGTGCTTTCAGATACACAAAAAAGACCCATGCCAAGCAAAATGCCAGAGGGAATATTGGGTTTAGAGCCAGACTTTCAAAGCATCAAAATTTTTACTTCCCTTCAGTTGCATTCATAATATTATTTTAATCACAAATAAATCAGGCTAGCTGAGCAAGTCTGTCAAGTTATCAAGCAGTCAAATAAATCATAGAATCACAGAATTTTTAGAGCAGGAAGGGACCTCTGGGGATCACTAAGTCCAATCCCCCTGCCAAGGCATGATCACTTGGACCAGGAGACACAGGAACGTGTCCAGGTAGAGTGTGACTGTCTCGAGAGAGGGAAACTCCATGACCTCCCTGCTAGCCTGCCTGTTCCAGTGCTCTTAATACAAACTTAATACAAAGTTCTTCCTCATGCTGAGGTGAAGCTTTTTGTGTTTCAGTTTATAGCCATCGTTCCTCTTACTGTCGCTCGGCACCAATGAAGGAATCTGGCACCATCCTCTCGGATAGAGATATTTATACGCATTAACGAGATCCCCTCTCAGCCTTCTCTCCTCTGCACTACACAGGCCCAACTCGCGAATCCCTCCTCACGAAAGGCTCTACCGGAAGGCAAAGGACCCGCCAGCTCCTCGCGTCTGCGCGCACACGGCTGCGCTCCGGTCCCTCCCAGCCCCACACTCCCGGTACCTGCGCCCAGCAGCAGTAGCCCCAGTGCGGCGAGCAGCCGCCGCAGAGCGGCGAGCGGCGCCACAGCCCTGGGGGTGCGGGAGGGCACAGCGCTCCCCATGCCCGGCCATGCAGGTCCCCGGGCCGGCGGCAGGACGGCGCCACGGCATGAGGCGGCGGCGCCGGCAGCGCGGGCGGGCGGGCAACGTTTTCCACGGTGCTTCCCCCCTCCGCCTCCTCCTGCTCCAGCGGTGCAGCCGCAGCCACGGCAGCGGGAGATGGCGCAACGCGCACGAAGAGACGGACCCAGATGGGGGGTGGGGGTGGGGAAGCGCCTGCGCTCGCGCTGCATCCACCGCGCCCCTCCCGCTGCGCCGTCTGCTATTGGCTACCTGAGCTGTCCGTCACGGCTAGCCCCTGGCGGCAACGACCCGCCCGCCGCGGGCCCCGCCGCGTCACTAACGGCCGAGTGCGCCCGCGCAGCGAGCCGTGCCACTGAGGCAGGACGGGTCACACGAGTCCGCCAGGAGGCACTGCCGGGACAGGGCAGGGAACAGCGCCGGGCTAGGACAGGAAACACCCCGGACAGGGTGAGGAACACCGCCAGGAGAGGAGAGGGGCCCCGCCAGGATAGGTCAGGAACACCGCTGGAATAGGGGGGGTACCTCCAGGATAGGGCAGGGACACCTCAGGGGTGGGACGGGGAAGACCTCCGGCGCAGACAAGGGACACGGCTGGATAGGGCAAATGGCAACACCGGTGCACTGCTGGGAACAGGGCAGGGGACATCGGTGGGACAGAGCAGATGGCAGCACACGGACAGGCGTGGGTGACAGAACAGCGAGACAGCGCAGGGGACATCACCGGGGTGAGAATTAGGAAAAGAATCTGCAGGAGAAGATAAATGCCATCATGTCAGAATATTTTTTGATCCTCCTAAGGTAAACTTCCCTTTGAGTACGTCATTAAGAAACTAACAGGAGACACTACAGGACATCTCAGATGTAAGTAAAAATACTGCTTTCAGGCTGTTTGTTTTTTCAATCTATTTCTCCTTTCTAGCAAACATATTTCATACTGCTAAGACTAGACTGGCTGAGGCCAATTGGTCGAGGTTCAGCGAGGCCCGGTGCTGGGTCCTGCCCTTGGGTCATAATGCCTGCAGTGTTACTGGCTCAGGCAGTGGCTGGAAGGCTGCATAGGGAAAAGGGCGGGCATTCTGGCTGGCAGAGCTGAACATGAGCCACCATGGACCCAGGAGGCCAAGAAGGCCAATGGCATTCTAGCTTGGGTCAGCAATAGTGCGGCCAGCAGGACCGTTCCCCTGTACTCAGGACTTGTGAGGTCACACTTCAAATCCTTTGTTTAGTTTTGGACTGCTTACATCCAGAAAGACACTGAGGTGCTGGAGGGAATCCAGATGAGAGAAATAGACCCTGGGAAAGGGTCTGAAGCACAAGTCCTCTGAGAAGCAGCTGAGGGAGCTGGGGGTGTTCAGCCTGGAGGAAAGGAGGATGAGTTTCTTGCTCTTCAAAACTCCCTGAGAGGAGGTTGTAGCCAGGTGGGGATGGGTCTCCTGCCATGTCTCGAATTAAAAGACAACTGAAAACGGTGTTAAGTAGCACCAAGGAACCAGTGTTGGTGATTCTGTGATACAGTTCTTCAGGAAAAGCATGGACAATATACAAAATACTGTACGCAAATAAAACCACAAATACAAAACAGACAAACTGATTCCCTTGGATTTCTCTTTATTATAAAATTTCTGGAAAATAAATATCCGAGAAAGAAACTGTTCATTTTATCAGTCACGTCTGAAAAAACCCAACCAACCAACCAAAACCCCCAAATCCAAGCAAAAATCTGAGCTTCAATAGCCATTAAAACGAATGTAAATTGCCACAACCTAGAAAGAAGACCTTTGGCTTCTGCTATAGGTCACATAGTATTCATTAATCTAGCTGGGGCTCTGAGAACTATCATCTATGGTTTTCTTTTTCTTAAATGCTCTTAGAAAAATATTTCTGCCGTTCACTCCTACTAAGAGACAACACTCTTCCTTTTAATTTCATATTGCTCTAATTTAATTTTTATAATGTAGTAACAGCTACTTACATTCCTTGAAGCTGTCTTTGACTGTGACATTGTCACAGCAAGGGTACATGTACATGCTTCTTTTGGAGGCTCATAGAGGCTCACCCTGTCTGTTCTCCCTTTGTTCCAGAAGTCAAGTAGCTATATTAGTGCAGCTGATTTCCTGTCCATCTTCTGTCTCAAAGGGGTTTATCCTCACAAGATTGATGCCACAGCAACAGCCCTGGCCACAGGCTTTGTTTGGGTTTGAGCAGATCTGAGCAGAGGCAGAATCTTCTCATTCTGAACTACATAGTATGCAAAGTTCTACAGTCTTAGATGTTCATGATCTTGTTCTTGCCACTTAGCCTATAAATAGCTTACCTAAGAAGATACCTCATTAGAGGCCATACAGCATATTTCTTTTCTCTTAGGTCTAATATTTTCATACTGCTATGGACTTTTTTTTTCTGGAGCAAAAAGTATAAACAAAACAAGATAACTGACAGGGTGATATATATATATAATTATGCTCCCTTAATTAATGCTGATTCATTCTACAAGCATAGCCATTGATTTATGGAACCAGATTATGTTATCCTATATCATGCTGGTTTATGTAAAGCAGAACTAAAACTGCGTGCTTTTACCGATAGCAAGAATTTTTTCTCATGATCTCTAATTTTCCTAAAGATTTTAGAAGAATTCAAACACCCAACTAATGCAGTAAAAATTCTCTAGAAGTAGGAGGATAGATAGCTTGTAAGGGGGTTTAGAAGCTGAGGCAAATCTCTATCTTCCATGTCTGAAACTGTCTGAAAAGTGCTAAGGGTCGTATTTGAAAAATAATTTCTCAGAGAGTACACAAATCTACAAATACATTGTGGACTGCACAAAGGATCTCTTGGACTCCAAAGTAATAACAGGTATAAATACACCTGAAGAGCTGATACACTGATTTATGTTCATCTGCTTGTTGTGTGAGAAAGTAGTGGTGTCGTGAAAGAAATAAGATGTCCTCTTGGATTGGGGGTTTCTTTTGCTTTCTCAAAGTTACGCTTGGAATTGCAGCTTTTCTTAGCAAGCCCTTGCAGTGAGTTTTCCCTGAATGCGTGGCTCCACTGCCTATCTAAACCCAACAGTTTCTTTCCCCGCCTTTTTGGAACTGGGGGACATGTGGGGCATGCCTGCCTTTTTTCCCCCAGCCCCTATCATGACCCATTGCCAAAATCCTCCTGGATCCTAAGGTAGACATCTCCTAATTGCTTAAAATACCACAATTCAGTACCCCTTTCAGTTTAAAAATTTCATTGATTATGCCAACTATGCTGCTTATATACAATTACCAGTTTCATTTGAAAGCTTACAACAGATTGGTACAACTGCACTGACCGTATACAAAGATACAAATACCACTTTCAGTTCACACACTCAAATGTATTGCAGGTTACAAAGTAATGCCTACATATGTATATATACGAAGAGACAAACATCAATTGAACTATCTAAATATCCACAAAGCAATAACTAAACTATTGGAATGAATCTTGTGAGACTCTGTTGCAATTCAAATTTATTTTATTGATTTCTTGTTAAGTAGTTTATTCTGTCATACCCTCATGTTCTCCCCAAGTTGATTTACCCTTGGGTTTTACCCTCCCTCAAAGCTATCCCCCCTCAAAGCTGTCCTCACGCCATTCCCCGCCTCTTGTTCCAGCTCTTTCCCTGCCTGTCATGGTAACCCAGCCCTTGATTCCTGAACCTTCTCTGCCACTTAAACCTCGGGCCAGTCCCTGTTTGCAACACCCCTTTGGAATTCCTCTATTCCTCAAATCCCCCTTGGCCGACGTGACCCATCCTCTCCACCCTCCTACCCCAACTGGCCCAGGACACTTTATGTAATCCCCTCACTCCTCCCCTGAGAATTCCCTATTGGTTAGCTGTTTGTGTCCACCCCCTGACTTGTATGTAGACAAAACCCCTTGCACAATACAGCTAGGGGCTTTTTGTCCTGTTCCTTTCAGCTGGAATAAACTGTTCCCTGTGGAACCTCAAGACGGAGAGCCTCCTCCTCTGTCCTCTGCCTGGTCCCTGTCCTGGCTTGTGTGTGGCACGTTAGAGCTAGTGGTTCTAAAATTTCTGCCTCTGGTAAATCCCCATACCAAGGCAGTTCCCCACTCCTGGCATGGCGCTGGAGTTCTAAGAGCTAGCCCAGGTTCAGCAGCCACCTCAAGACTCCGTTTTTTTCATGAAGGAAAAAAGCCTATTCTTCATTCACATAACACATTTTTATACAGTTTTTACAGACCTCGTGTGCAACTTTAATTGGTTAGTAGCTTTCTTGCCAATTACTGTATTGGTTAATAAAAGGTATTTTACTTAATCTGTCAAATTTCTCTTATTTTTAAACTGTTCACATATTTTCTTCAATTAACTCTTTGGGATAGATTCAATATTTATGCAGGTGCTAGTTGTTTTTCACCCAGTAATAGACTGTTGTGTTAATGAACTATTCATGCCAAAATTGTTTTTGCATGGGAACTTGCAAAGTACTAGGTGCGCTTAGAAGAAAGACAGATCAGCTGTCTGTAACAGAGCAGGCCTGATTTTATGATGGTTTTTTTCAGTAATTTTTCTACCTGACTTCAACACTAAATTGTACAACTGTACACAGGTTTACACGGAACTTCATACGTATATAAATATAACAATCTATGGTATACAAATATATTGACATCTGTGTAAGTATAACAATACACATGGTGAGCCTGTACATAAGTATGCAGATGCCAAAGTACATATCTAAATTTCTGTATGCTGTAACTAAGTAAGTATAATGGTATATAATTTGAAATACATTTCTTGACATGTAGATGCCGTTAGCCTCGCCAGAGTCTCAGCCCACATGCAGCTCCCCCAGTCCCTTCAGACCCTCCAAGCCCATCAGCCCCCACAGTGCTGCCATTCCCCTCAGTGTCCTCAGTGCTCTGGGCCCCACTACCCCTTCAGCCCACACCATTTCTCTGTCCCCTCAGTCCCTGCGATCACCATTGGGTCCCCCAGACCCCTCAGTTTCACTACTTTGTCTCAGCCTCCACAGCCTTACCGCCATCACCACCCACAGCAGCACCATGCCTTCAGTGGTGCTGTCTCCTGTGACAGCCGTGGTACCCTCAGCTGTACTGGTCCTTCAGCGACTCCCTGCTGGCTTAAGCCCAGACACTCTGCGGGGGGTCAGTGCCTGGT